GTGCAGACCTGTCGGCGGCCTGCACGAGGAAGAGAGGCTTCTTTAGGACGCCCGCGTCCCGCTGAGCACGCACGTTCATCCACCGCGCCACGGTGTCCCAGTAGGACCCGATCATGTGGCCGTTCTGGAACCTGTCCTCCCGGAGCCGGCGATCATCGGGTTTCAGTTGCATGGCGTTCCGCGTGGCCCGGATGGCCGGAGGGACCTGCTTCCCCGGTCTGCGCAGGAACGCCATGAGATCCCGGAGCTTCGTGTCCTTGAAGCGGTTGGACGCCTGGAGCTCGAAGCACAGCGGCGTGTTGCAGAAGAGCTTCATCACTGCCTGGTACTCTGGGGCGAGGTTGATGCCCGCCGCCGCCAGCTCCTCGAAGCTGGAGATGAGCGACACCTTGCCTCCCGTCGGCTTCAGCTGCAGGAAGTCCCCCAGGTGGATCACGATGGGCATCCGTCCGAAGGCGCCGCCGACCTGGTCGTACTCCCGCTCCTCCGCGCCCCAACTCGTTCCTTAGCGCCCTGGGGGCCACGAAACGTGTGAGGGGTGTGCTAATTGGTGGTGCGTGACGCATGCGGGCGGCAGCACTGGGGCCTTCGGTGGAGCTCCCTATGGCCATGAAACGTGTGAGGGGTGTGCCGAATTGGGTGCGTGACGCAAATGCGGGCGCAGCACTGGGGCCTTCGGTGGAACTCCCTATGGGGCCACGAAACGTGTGAGGGGATTAGCGGAATAAGTGTGCGTGACGCATGCGGGCGGCAGCACTGGGGCCTTCGGTGGGGCTCCCTTATGGGGCCACGAAGCGTGTGAGGGGTGTGCCGAATTGGGTGTGCGTGACGCATGCGGGCGGCAGCACTGGGGCCTTCGGTGGGGCTCCCTTATGGGGCCACGAAGCGTGTGAGGGGTGTGCCGAATTGGGTGTGCGTGACGCATGCGGGCGGCAGCACTGGGGCCTTCGGCGGAGCTCCCTATGGGGACACGAAACGTGTGAGGGGTGTGCCGAATTGGGTGTGCGTGACGCATGCGGGCGGCAGCACTGGGGCCTTCGTGGAGCTCCCTGTGGGGCACGAAACGTGTGAGGGGTGTGCCGAATTGGGTGTGCGTGACGCAGCGGCGGCAGCAAACTGGGCCACCGAGTTCGGTGGAGCTACCCCATGGGGAGCCACGAAACCGTGTGAGGGCGTGCCGAATAAAGTGTAGCGAGACGCCTGCGGGCGGCAGCACTGGGGCCTTCGGTGGAGCTCCCCATGGGGCCACGAAACCTGTTGTTGTGAGGGGCGTGCCGGGATGGGTGGCGGGGACGCATGTGAGCGCGGCCGCTGGGGCCTTCGGTGGAGCTCCCTATGGGGCCACGAAACGTGTGAGGGGAGTGCCGAATTGGGTGGGTGTGGGTGACGCATGCGGGCGGCTCAGCACTGGGGCCTTCGGTGGACTACCATATGGGGCCACGAAAACGGTGAGGCGTGGCGCGAATTTGTGTGATGACGAATGACGATACGATGACGATAGACGATGACGAGACGATGATTGATGATGAATCTGATGAAGATTATGATGATGATGATAGAAGATGCTGATGCTGATGATGATGATGATGATATGATGAAGATGATAGATGATGAAGAGGATGATGAGATGACAGATGAATGATGAGGAGATGGTGGTGGTGTGGTGTGGTGGTGGTGGTGATGACGTCGTTGATGATGATGATGATGATGATGATGATGATGATGATGATGATGAAGATGATGATGAAGATGATGATGAAGATGATGATGATGATGATGATGATGATGATGATGATGATGATGATGATGATGATGATGATGATGATGATGATGATGATGATGATGATGGGAGGGGGGAGGAGGCAGCGGGAGGAAGGAAGGAAGGAGAACGCGGGGCACCGTCTCTTCAAAACGAGGACCCAACACCATAGGATGGTTGGGAAAAAAAATAGCCTGCCGAAGGACCCAACCAGTCGCAGATGGGAGTACCGCAATTGTGGGTATCGCCTTCGGTGGCGCTTCCTATGGGGCCACAAACTGGGTGGGGGGCGTGCCGGAAATGGGTAGCGTGGATGGGGCCACGAACCATGTGAGGGGTGTGCCAGAATGGGTGGCGGGGACGCATGGAACGTTGCCGCTGGAGCCTTAGGAGGAGCTCCCTGGGCCACGAACCGTGTCAGGGATGCGCCAAAGTGGGTGGCGGGGACGCATGGGAACGTCGCCACTGGAGCCTTTGGTGGAGCTCCCTATGGGGCCACGAACCGTGTCAGGTGTGTGCCACAATGGCTGGCGGGGACGCATGGGAACGTCGCCACTAGGGCCTCAGGTGGAGCTCCCTGTGAGGCCACGAACTGTGTGAGGAGTGTGCCGAAATAGGCGGCAGGGGCGGATAGGAACGTCGCCACTGGAGCCTTAGGAGGAACTCCCTAAGGGGCCACGAACCGTGTCAGCAAAATGGGTGGCG